AGCTGGGAGGAGCCAGTGGTCCCACCCACAGGCCTCTACCCGGTTCTCCTTCCTTTGCCTCCGTGGGGGAGGGAGGAAAGAATCCCAGTGGACAGTTGGGAAAAAGGCAGAGGGGATGTGGGAGGGAGCTGAAGAAAGGCAGCACCATGCAGTCTGTGATCTGTGACCATTGAGGGTACAATTCTGAACTTGGCTCTGCCAGTGCCCTGGGCCTCACCTAGGCTGCAAATGGCTGTGCACAGTCCTGAGGCATCTGCTTCCTCTTCCTTGTAAGCCCTTCTGAGACACAAGAGGACACCTTACAGCTCCCCTTCACCCACAGGGCAGCTCCCTCCTTTCCTGGCTGCATGAGCAGAGATGGAAGGTAGATGGGTGATGCCATTTGCTCTGGTGACCATGGTCCTTGTCACACAGTGGCTTCTGAGTAACCTTCCAGCCAGTAAAATGGTGGAAAAGCACTGCTGTCTGACCACACTAGCAGAGTCTTTCCTGAAATAGTCTTTACGGATCCACCCAAGGGAAACAATAGCCAGAAACAAAGGTACAAAGGCCCATTTTGTTGTCTGGTTGTGGGGGGAAGTTTCTTTTTGTTGCTATTCTTGCAAACAGCCTTTAAATTGTGTTGGTGATGCTGTTTGTTTGCTTGTGTTGGTGGGTGAAAAGCAGGCAAGCATTGGTTGGTTGTTTTCAATTTTTGGTTTCAATCAGCCTGCTTACCTCATTTGAGCAGCGACACCACTTTCTGCTGTCCGCTGGGGGGCAGCCATATCAGGTGGAGGGATGACCCTCCCCATGGTGGGCTGGGAGGCAGAGGCACCATTAGCAATTCTGTTGGCAGAGCTCCAACCCCCACCCAGCTTTGTGTGTACAGAGTAACTATGGACGTTTGACAAACATCCGACTGCCTGGGATGTAAATTCTCTGAAGCAGATGCTCAAGCACCCTGGGTCAGAGACAAGAGAAGACAGAGGTTTGAAATGAAATGCAAGCTATATGTAAGTGCTGATTCCTTCCAGTCTCTTACGATCTCTGATCTCCGTCTGACTTCCTCCCTTTCCATCCACAGGGATGACCTCCTCAGACTCTGGTATAGGCTACATCCTTCCTGAAGGTGTGTGTGGGAGGCTGACTCACCAGTGGTAGAGAGCAGGACTTGACTGATGTCTATGTCCATTTTGTGTGGCTGTGACAAAATCCCTGGAGCTGGGCATGGTAAAGAGGCTCAAAGAGCATGGTGAGGACTCCCTGGCAGCACCACCACATGGCAGAGAAGTGGGCAGGGAAGTGGCCATTACAGAAGAGGTCAAGCAAATGGGTGGCCTTGCCTTAGAGCAAGTCAGTCACTCTTGCAAGAAATAATCCAGTCACACGAGGTCTAAATCACCACCCCTCCAAGACTGGCATTGTCTTTCCTGTGGTGTTCATGCCCTCTCAACCATCTCCACTCATCACACTGGGGACGAAGCTTCCAGGACAACCCTGGGAGAAAAACACATGCAAATGCAGCAACCGGTCTCCTTGCCCAGCTCTCTCCAGCTCTCGGTCTTACCTGAGGACAATGGCTCCTCTCTGCACTGTGGTCACAGGAGCTGGGGTAACTGACAGTGATTACAGCTTCTGGCCCTCTGTGTTTTATGTTAATGGAAAGTTGATAGAACGCATTTTCCAATTGTTCATTCTGGTAAAAATGTTGCATGTAATTTCAGTTTATGATTCTTCCAGGCAAATTTGAAATGTAGGTTTTTAGGGTGGCCACGGTGGCATCCTTGCTAATGTCACTTTTCGTATTTCCCCTTTCTTTGGGGCCTGAGTCATCTTATGCACTAGCTTGGAGGATGGGAGGCAGGTGTCGCATGCCCTGGAATGGCTTCCCTGCTGGCACTGTGCCCAGTTCCTAACACTGAGGTTTCTATAGGGTTGAGGAGGAGAAAGCAATGCATCCTGGGAACCTGCCCCTCTCCAGGCTGTTGCTGCTGGTGCATGAGGAAAGAGCATATGCACCTGTCATGGGATGGAGTGGACCTCTTGGTGGCGGATGTGGGCTGCTTTGCTGGATACTCTGCAGCTGCCATGGTGGCTGTTTTCTCCTTCATCTGGGGTTCCTGTCCTCCTTCATTGGTACAGATGAAAGAAATAGTCAGTCAACCCCACACTAAGGGCTGGCAGTTTTGTCACTGGAGGGGTTTCAGTCTCCCTGAGGGAGCATTACAGAATTCAACCCAGATACAGATGGCTTTATTGACTCCAAGCAGAATTATGCTGGCACCATTCTCTCTCTGTGAGGTTTCGTTATTAGGGGGGGATTCCCCTACTGAAGTGCATTTGTGCTGCTCCAGTCATAAGCTGATCAGAAAAATACCTCTCCCTATGGCTCTTTCCCCCGGCAAGTGCACACATTCAAGTCTCTGACCACATTCTGCCCCTTTCCCATCTGCCTCATCACTCTGGGGTCTGTGATTTCCAAAGCCTGTAGCCACAGCCATGGGGATGCTACTTGTCACCGGCTTCTACGAGCTCATTTCTGCCACACCCCGCTGTGTCGGAGACCTTGCCAACTGCTTGCTTTTACTTCTTCTCTGTGTGTCTTACTTCCTACCTGGGGACTGAGGTTATGACACTATCCAACACTCATCATGAAAATCCAGTAAAACTGCAATTGTGAAGTCCCTAGACCACCATGGCATCCGGGAAGATGGATGCCAAGACTCCATGGTGCGTGGTCTCTATTGGTACTTAAAGACTCAAAAACTGGAGATGAATCACCAACAACCAAGATGACGACTCCCACATTCCCACAGCTGTTGATTGTAAGCAGAGCGGGAGGCTCAGGCCAGCCTCCACCAGGAGCAGCTAGAAGAGTCAGACAATGAACCTGAAAACTCTGCCTGTAGTCACTGGAGAGCCTGTGGGGGACAAGACAGTAGCACACATATATCAACCTCTTGTCTGTGCTGGGTTTTGCCCTGGCAGTGCCTTCAGGTTTTGAGAGTGGTAGCTGAGTGCTGAGAAGTGGAACAGGTTTCCAGCAGGCACTGGGGAATGAAGAGCTGAAGCTTGAATGACTAAAGGATGCAAATTATAACCTCTAGGAGAAGCACAAAAAGAATTGTAACTATTGAGCTAATTGAGATAACAAATGGAGAAGTAAAACCAATAAATCTAAATATGGCAGAGAAAGAAAGGAGCAAAGAGAGTTAGGGCAGACAGAAAGCATAACACAAGACGCCATGGCAGTTTCACATATGCCAGCAACCTCAGGCATTGGTTTGGGACCTCAAAGCCTTAACATGGAAAAGGAGAGAGCTAGAGACAGAGGGCAGGGCAGGCCAATCTCCCCCGTCCCTGTTTGGATGAGGGTGTGTATGAAGGCCAGTGCTCTAGTTTAGCTACTAAAAGAGAAGCAAAGGCGCATACTTTCTGGAGGAGGACATGCTACCAAATCCTCAAGTCATCTTACTGTTTTTCATATGTCAAGTATTGCATTTCTTTAAACAAGGCATAACCAGGAATCAGAAAACACAGGGAAGCAAAGCAGATGAACATGGTGTCCAGGAAGCAGAATCACCGGACATGAAGTTAGGGGTCATTAGCACAAAATTTAAAATAGCTGTGGTTAACACATTTGTATGAATAAGAGAGGAGATTGGTAAATAATTGGGAACTGTATGAAATTCTGCAACTGAAAGCATGCAGTAACTAAAATCAACCACTGGTGGCTGAGTTAACAAAGTAGACAAGGTGAAGATCAGTTACCCTGCAGGTAACGTCCACACCACTACTGGAGACC